CAATTCACTGTGTGATGTTGGGAAGCCCAACACCCTCTCTGGACCTATTCTCCTATCCATTAAAATTTTTTTTGTTTGTTTTAAAAAATCTTTGGCGGGGGGAGTAATTAAGTTTAAACCCAGGACCTTGTGTGTGCTAAGCATGCACTCTACCACTGAGCTCTACCCTCCCCACTCTCCTATCCATATAATACAGAGGATAGGCAGACTAGCTCTCAGGATCTGATGGTTTAAAATTTCTGTAATTACGTGAAAAAAAAGGGTGCTGCCACCCCAAACAGGTGGGTCATATGGCTCAGGAGAGGGGAGCATCTGCCTGTCTCTCCTCTCATCTCTTATGAGTTCAGAGCTTTCCAGTCTGGAAAACTAGAAATCCTATCTCTCCCTTCCTACTTCTCCTGGGCTCCTATAAGGACCTGTCTTGATCCTTCCAGTTTTCTTGGACCCAGATACACATGCTGGCTGTTCAAGTGATGGAGAGGATCTAGAACTCCGGGCATGGATAGAAATCATCTATCTATACATCACAACCATTCACCCATCCATCCATCCACACGTCCTCTATCCATTCAACTGAGAGAGCGAGTATCCTCAGTGTTTCTCTGGGCAGACAGAGTGATGTCCCAGACTTGGTCTCTGTCCTTGAGGAGCTCAGAGTCTAGCTCATTCACTGTTTCCACCTGTTCCCCTTGCTTCTACACCTTCTGATGAATAGCCTCGGGTATCTTGTTTCTTCTACCCCAAACCTCTTCCATCTATTTATTCATGTCTAATCTTAGCCACCCTTCAGGGACCAATTCAATTACCACCTCCTCCCTGAAGTCCTTCTTGATCTCCCATAGCCACAAGTCAACTCTTCTTTCCTTGAACTCTTCTAGGATATTTTGGACTTTGTAGTTGACTGTGGGCTCCTTGAGGAGCAGTTATCTCATTGATCTCTAAACCCCATAGTGTCCTTTGTAGTAGATCTTCAAGTATTTGTTGAATGAATGAATATAAGCCACACTGAACATCCTTGTTGGAGGCTGTGAGGGGTGAGGGGTCTGTGCCATATAACAGTGGTAGGAAGCTCTTCCAACCTGTTGGGCATCTTCCTGGATGGGATCATCACCTCCTATGGCTTTTATTGGCCTCTTGCCCTCCCAGAAGTGGGCCACAGCAGGGGTGCATGGGTCCTATGCCATCTCCTCTTTTTTAGATTGTGTGCCTCACGGTGGGCAATAACAAGACTCTCCTGGAGATTGACAACAGTCGCATGACCCTGGATGACTTCAGGATGAAGTGAGTCCTGTTCCCACTCCCATTGCTGCCATCAATCTTTCCTCTACCCGCTAGTGCTCTGGAGATTCCTGTGGGGACTTGTGCCCTCCTGCTTATGTTCTACCCCTGGCTGGTCTGCAGGTTTGAGATGGAGCAGAACCTGAGACAAGCAGTGGATGCTGACCTCAGTGGCCTGAGAAAGGTGCTGGATGATCTAACCATGCAGAAGTCTGACCTGGAGATGCAGTATGAGTCTCTGCAGGAGGAGCTGATAGCCCTCAGAAAGAATCATGAGGAGGTGGGATTCTGGCTACTTACTGCTAGTGGGGGAGAGGGAGGAACAGAAGTGCAGGGATGACTTGGGGTGGAGGGGAGCTCTGGACCACTGCCGGGGAGACACCCTCTCCCTTACTCTTGAGGAAGACACTCCCAGCCTATGGTGGTGGTTGGGTTTTGACTTCACACCTGTGACCCATCTTGTCTTTGCACCCTGGGGTGAGCAGAGGGAGAGGACTGAAAAGTGATAGAGAGGCTCCCTGACCACATCCCTGTCTTCCCTGGCAGGAGATGTGCCAGCTGTCTGGGCAGAGCACTGGGGATGTCAGTGTGGAGATGAACGCTGCTCCTGGCAGAGATCTCACTAAGATCCTCAATGACATGCGTGAAGAGTATGAGCAGCTCAGTGCTAAGAACCGAAGGGACATCGAGCAGCAATATGAGAGTCAGGTGAGCAGCGGAGGACTCAGAGTCAACCCTCTATCCCTCCATCCACGCATCCTTCCATTCGTTCCTCCACCCACCCCTCCACCTCTCAGTCCAGCTGGGCGTCTCAGTCATCCTTCTTCCAATTCATTCATTGCCCACGAGCATAATTATTGAGCAGCTTCTCAGTGCTGTGTTTCATGTGAAGTGCTGATGTCTCAGAGATGAGCCACGCAAGATTGTTGTCCTCGAGAAACTCTCACAGTTTATTGTGTGTGTGAACAAAGGTAGAGCATAAACATCTTACATAAGACTGTGTGCTATGGGACCCTAGTAGTGGTACCCGGTGAGCCCCTCACATTACACTGAGCTCTTTGGCGACTCCCTTCCTCTTGGGTCTCCATCATCTAGTGTAGAGGCTGGCACATGTAGGCATGATCTGTAGTGTGTGTGTGTGTGTGTGTGTGTGTGTGTGTGTGTTGGTGGTCGGGCTAGTATAATAATAAGTAAGGTAGTAGATAATAGTTGAGAGTGTCTAGACGTCCTTGGTAAGGAAAGGTATTAGTTAAGTAAGAGA